ATGGGGGATGTGGATTTACTCATTTTGTGGTTATAGATCTTTCCCATTTTTGTCAGTATAAATAGTATGAAATGTTTCAGAAAAACCATTTTTACATGTCAGACAAACGGAATAAAATATAGTGAATTAGGAAAAGTTAGAAACTATTTTTAAAATATTTTTCTTGTTTTCTACATGTAATTATGTAATATTTTAAATACAAATTATTCTCAAAGACTTACTATATCTTGATCTCATAATTATCCTACTTAAAAAGATTGGCACTAACAAATAACAAAAGCTTCAGATTATTTGTGTATCTAATTACATATTCTGTAGGGTAAAAGAACATGAAATACCATTATGTGAAATATAAAAGTTTTTTTTTCAAACAGGTGTATACATTTTTTTAAAATAACATCTGTAGTGTTGGGTATAACTCAGTGTGTGAGCACTTCCCTAGCATACACAAGGCTCTTATTTCAATCCCCAACAACATAAAACACAAACAAAATAAAAACTATAATAGCATATAACTGTCTCACAAAATGCCAAGTTCTCCCTCAGATTTTGTTTTAGTTGCAGCAATAGGTCCCCCTGGTGGAGACTGAGAATATATGTGTCCCATTTTTCTGTGGTTCCAAATAACAGTTCCAGTGTGAGCACTGATAAGGTGCTATTCTTCTTGGAACAACTGTGTAGTCAAAGTTGTAAGAGAAACGATGCCTGATGAAGACAGAGGGCAGGATAAAGGTTGGTGTATCATCTCTACATGTAAATTTGTACTTAATACTCAGAATTGCAGAAATCAAACTACCTTTACCCTAAGAATTCCCCCAAACATGAACCTGCAATGAAGAGTTAACACAATCTACAATGCACATGTCTTTTAAAGCTAGATTTACGGATATCTAGCCAAGACTTGTTGTACTTGGTCTATATTCTTGTCCACATAAGACGAATGATTCTGAAGCGAGACAGAAGTGTCATTGTTCACTGAAAACTCCCACGATAATCACCAAGAGATTGTGTGCATTGTTAGGTTACACTGGGCAATATTCTATCCTAAATATCAGAGCTACGTGTGCCAACTCCTATGGATGAGGGAAACAGAAGTTCTGGAAGTGAAATCAGAAACACATGTTCCCATTCATTTCATCAGTTATGGGACGCCCACCCAGAAGTTCAACCGCTTCAAAGCATTGTGAAACTCAGGCTTCACTCTGTACCCTTTTGCAAATCAACATGTGTTGCCAGCTCAGAGCAACAACAGAAATTCTCAGAAGAATAAACTGCTTCTTGTATCCTAAAAGGTCCTGGAGAACCCCAACAGCCCTTATCTGTGGAAATAAATGCAAATCCCTTGAACTCAGAGCAGTCAATACTTGGCAGTCCTCTCCGGGCCATGGTCTATTGTTGCTCACTATCTGTAGGTGCCTTCTACTACATCAGCCCGAATCTGGCTTTCCTTAGTCAGAGAAGCAGCCCTGGGGAGTTACTCATACAGTTAATCTGGAGCTTAACCCACCAGAATCCCTGAGTCATATTGAAAGAGAGTAGGTCAAATAATATAAAATCTTAGCATATTTGGAGAGGATGGGACTGAACTACAGCCAACTCTGTAGCTCAGGTTGGCCTGAAATTTCACTATGAGGCACAATCAATCTCAAACTCATAGCAATCCTGCATTGGCCTGAGTACTAGTATCACCAGCAAGAACCACCATGTCTGGCTCATGCTCCTGTGGTGTATGAAGTATGCCACTGAGCCATGAGTATGTGACTGGCACTCTACAAACATACTGTAGGTCACATTCTACTCCAAGCTCTATTACCTCGAGGCTCTCATCTTTTCGCTAAATTTGGAGTACTGGAACAAGCTGATGGGAACACTTTGCAGCGGCAGAAGGCGGAGAGGAACCCTCTGAAGGCCAACAGTTTGATTCTAGAGACCTGAAATCTGGCGGTCTCTACTGTCTAACTGTGGTTGTCTGAAGATTCCTTTAACTGATCTCAAATAACCAAAGTTGTCTGTATTTGTTCTTCTCACTCTAGTTGGCATTTTATTTTTAATAATCCTAATACATCTGTGAAATTTGCCACTAGCCTATTTTTGAAAAAAATGAAAGTATACATTATAAAATGGAAAGTAAGTTAAGAATTTTTGTCTTTTATTTTTAATCTTAATTAGCCATTTAAAAGTGGAGACCTTACTAGATGGTAGGAAGCAAAGGGATCTTGACAACTGAAAAATAAACAAAACCTCTGGACCTTACTAACTACTCAAGTAGCTAAAATATACAGATCATCATTTTTACGCTTATTTCAACCAGCTGTTAGCAGTGTATGATTCATAGAAACCCTCAGATTATAATTCCTCCAAATGAATGGAGGGCTTGTATAAATGCTCAAATTAATCGAAACTTAAAATTCTTACCTCCAGTGCATCAGGGACCTCAGACATCCAAGTTCAGACGCAAACCACTTGAGCCCACAGGCCAGTAATGACTTGGCAGTCCTTTCTCTGCCATCAGAGTCCCACCAGGCTTCCTATTCCCCTGTGACTTTCACCAGTCCCCACTCTACCAACCCCACCGACATCTCAGTGGTAGAGGGCCTGCCTAGTGTGCACCAGGTGCTGGGTCTGATCCCTAGGATTAAATAATAATAATAATAATAATTTACCTCTAAACAATACCCTAGCTATTCTAGGTCTATGTACTTAAAAGGTTCTGAGAGGCCCTGAAGATCCCAGACTTTCTAAGATAATTGCAGAAATATAAATAATCACAGAATTGTATACAATAGGGCTTATGGACCAATAATTTAAACTACATAGTAAGTCTAATTTTAACAGCTTATATTTTCATTTTTCTTTTCAATTCACAAATTATTTTTGAGAATACAATTTTAATTTTCTCCAAATGAGATCTAGTTATTTTTCTAGTTAAAAAAAAATCCCCCTCCTTTTTATTAACCTTTTGCACAGTGGTGAAGTCAATTAAATTTGAAATCTTAAAATACAAATCTTAAATCTTCCCCCCAACTAATCTTAAAGAAGTTACTTTGTTTTTATATTGTTGAAAATTATTCCACTATCCCTTGGGATTTAGGTTCCGAACAATTATCACCCAGCAAGATTGTTACAGAAGAAATCTCCCATAAAGTGTAGTCTGGGCCAGTTACTCAGATTTAATTGAACACTTAATCTTCATAGAAAAGGAAAAGGCAATGAAAATGTAGATCGTGCTTAAACTATGGTTGTATCTACCTCTTGGCAAAGACTGTAAATGCATGAACTTTGAGAATAATCAAAATGCACATTTTATAATGAAAGATTACTTCTCAGTAGGCCAGCCCCAAACCTTTACCCTGCTGTTAAATTTGCAGAGGCTTTCAACGGTAGAAAACGTGCTTTGGAAATATTTTTATCACTCAGCATTTAGTTGATGTACACTGTGTGGTTTTTATTCTAAAGTGCCATCTATCAGAAGTAGGCTTTCATCAGTATCACGAGAACCTTTCCTTGCTGTCAGGTGTGTACAGACCTTTTGGAAGACCCTGGGGACAGGCAGTCATGGTAATGCCATACAGAGAAAATGGCCGCTTTTTTTAGAGAACACAGTGGTGTGTTGGACAAATGTTACAAGCATATTAAAATCAGAAATGTCGACCTCCAGGGATTCTATTAAGTATCCCTGATTTCTATTATTATGGAATAAGGAAAATATATTCTAAAATATTGTTAATTTATAAAATGAAGGTAACCTGCTGATCTTCAAATCTGTAAAATGTCATCCTCCTAAAATTCACTGCACAGTGAGAACTGTTTACGTAGTCTCACTATAAAATTTGTAATTTCTTAAGTTCTAATAAAAAGGTAACTTAGATTTTACAATTACATAATAACTAATTACACTTTATACTTTTTGAGTGTTTCTCACTGGGGCAACTTTCACACATACCTCAGATAAAATAAAGCCCAGGCTTTACTTATTTGAACTACGCTAGCAGGCTGAAAGTATCTCAACTATCACAAATTGTATTGACTTTCTTCTTTGTTAAATTTAAAGAAAGCCACTGAAACTAAAAACTCAGCGCTCTTCTTAGGAAAGCTCATATAATCAGAACTGGATTGCTGGAGATGTGCTGGGGTACCATTTCCCATAATCCTTTGTTTGCCCCTACCTTCAAGAAGGCAGAATGCCCCATTAATACCTGGAGAGTCTATCTCCACGATTTCTCGATACATCATGGAAAAACAAAACCCACAGTGTTTTCTAGGGCTAGTGTTTTCTCTTTTCCTTATTGATTTACCACAATAAAATCCAAAATTTACATTTCTCACTTTGCCAAGAAGTTAAATGGTTACAACTCTATTCAAGCTCAACTTGTCATTACAAAATCAGATTTCTAAAATATCGTAGAAAGAAAAGATGGGCCTAGATACACAATCCATAGTCCTCCGAACTGAAGGACAGCACACTTAGGAAGAAATCCGACATATATATATATATATATATATATATATATATATATATATATATATATATAATCCTGTACTGAAGTGAGAAATGTCAAGCTTGATGAAACCTCAGGGCATGGACAAATGTTCTATTCTATTATCATGTGTATTTTCTGATTTATTTTCAAATACAAGTGAAAGTGTAAAGACTAAAGATTTAAAAATATATTCTAAGTGTTAACAGACACCAGAAATCTAAAATAGAAAGTTTACCAAACTTAACATACTAATAAAATAAGGATTTTATTAATAAATGTCTAAAAAACATGTGCATCAAAATAAAAATAGCTAATGCTAAATTTAGAAGCCTCCAAATAATATACACCACATTGATATTTTTAAGCTTTATATAGAGCTGCATTATAAATTTGAAGTTAAAACTGTCGATGCTAACAACATTGATCATACAGAGAAACTCAACCACAGTGAAATAAATACAAAGGGTGCTTAGCTTTGGTCCTTGTGGAGAAAGGACTAAATTGGATTTTTTTTTTTTAAAACAGGACTTTAGTCACATAAAGGGAATACAGATGACAACTGCAACATTTTGGTGTTGATTCTCGCAATCCTTTATATGTCACCGGTCATAATAGCAATGAATTCCTCTTGATTTACTGTGGCAAAAAAGACAATATAATGGTCAGAGACACAGAAACTTTCTTTCCCCAAGGAACCATCACTTCATAATGTATTAAACTTTCCAACATACAAAAATATTACAAGTCCAAACATAACTTCTAAATAAGTGAGCATCTTATCACATTAAGTAGGGACAACAAATGATATATGTTACCATAAAAGTCAGTCACATACATATCATTTGTGCAGAAACAGTTTAAAAAGTGACAGTTCTAATGTAAGTAGTTTAACAACCATCTTTATAATTTTTACTAATACATTTAGGAAGGCTTCCTTCATAAGTCAGTCTGCCTATACCACACATGTGAACTAACAGAATTCTAAAGAAAGAAAATATTTTCAAACTAGAAAAAAATGGCAAATTGTTGATTTTAAAGCTTATTTTGAAGAAAGAAATGACTGAAACCAAGTCATATAACCTTAAAAGTGTTAACAGAAATAACTTGATAAAATACAGATTATTATATAGCAACTATAAAACAAGAATACAGGAAATAGTCACTTATGATAATTATTTGGCATTTTACTAAAATTATAAATAAAATTTAGTAAGAAACTTAAATGTTTAAAGTATATTTATGACAGCAACCTGTAATAAACAAGACTGAGCAATCTTAAATATGAATCTAAAGATGTATACATACCCTCACATATAGGAATGTTCAGAAAAGAAAGTTTCCTATATAAAGCAAGTGAGTATATACACGTCAAGACTTAAGAAGTCCTTTAAGGCATAAGTTATGGATGGCAATTTTTAATATGGCACAAAACCACCACACTGAAAATAAAGACCTGGCTTCTAGCCATGGCTCTGTACAAAACAGTTCTGCATGTCATCTCCTTTGTCTAAAAAGTAAACCTGAAGAGGATGTTTTTAGACTGTTTCTCTTTAAATCCTAGACAGTGATTTACTCAATCAAACATTTTCAGGTATCTAATAAATGCAACACCACACATAGTACTGTGTAATGCATCAAAACATATACAGGGTTCCTACCCTACAATATCCTGAATAGAACAGAAGAAGTGAATAGATGCCACTATAAAATCCTTGCTAATTCAAAGACACAATGGTATCATAAATTTGAAAGATTTTATTCTTAGTCATTGTTCAAATAGTAGAGTCATGTTCTTCATATGTGGATAAAGAAAGTGACCTAGAAAATGTTGAGTTAAAGCATATATATCAGAAATTAGACCATTAATTCCAGAGATAGTTCAATAATTATGTTAGGTCTGAAACAGAGAACAAATGCTTGAAACATAAAATAACTTATTATAAAATATGGATCAGATCGTACTGGAAAATACCATTGGGGAAGAAATCATTAATGAGAAAATTTTAGATATAAGCAAATCACAGATCAGACAGTACATTAAAAATATAGCATTTAGAAGGAAATAGGAAAAAGCCAAGGTAGGAAAATACCATTACAAGCACAGGAAGGGAGCAAATACCTACAAAAATAAACTATGAATTAAAAGATAAATGAGATGTTCGGAAGAGGCAGACATCCATGAACTCCTGTTCAGTCCTAAACACTTACAAGGCATTCTGGGATCTGAGAAACTGGAGTAGTGACTTCTGTGGCTAAAGAACACATCTGAAGAGCTTGTGAGAAGAAGACCCGTTCTCCCTCAACTAAGAATTCAAATAGGCAAGAACCCTAAACCAGGGGTCTTATCTAAAACTCTTAATTGAAGCCATCTACACACACCAAGGCTGCCAGACCAACACAAATGTTATCTTCTCGAGAAAACTTAATAAAAGCAGCCCCAAAATGATCTGATTATAAATCATATATAACAGAATTATGATTAAAATACCCAATTTCTAAGAAGTAATTGCTTTACTCGATTTTCACTTTTCTTTTTTTTTGCTTAAAATATAAAATTTCAATAATCAAATTTCAAATTAAGCTTCAAATAGAAGTTCCAAAATCACAAATAGTTGTTTTTATATTATTTACATATACTTTAAAGTATAAAAGCATTTTGAAAATATTTAAATCTATTTTATGACTTAATGTCTAAAAACATAGGTTCAAAAAAGTAAAAAGCAGAAAGTAACTAAGGGAATCAATCTTAGATACCTGACTACCAGAGAGGCTTCAGATGGTAAGTCATGTCTTGTAGCACAATCTTTCCGGTAATCAAATGTAACATTAGCTCAAAAATAAAAAACCTGAGTGGTCAAGAAGACAGCTCCGCCTGATGATTCAGAACCAGGGAAAAAGCTGAATGGAATGGAAGTCTCAGCACTCCTACAGAAATGGGAGACTCCTCACAGGTCAGCTAGCTGGAGCACGCAGCCCAGGAACAGAGACAAGACAGTTTGAGAAATGACTCCCAAACACACATACACAGACAATTGTGTGTGTGTGTGTGTGTGTGTGTGTGTGTGTGTGTGTGAATATGTGGTGGATGTATAGATAAATGTGTGTATAAACATGTATATATACACATATATTCATACACACACACAGGATCTGTGACTAAAGTTATGTGAGATACATTCCTCCCCATGCTGCTCTTGATCACAGCGAGAGTGACCCTAAGAGAGAAACTGGTAACAGGAGAGCGAGTTTTACTGTGAGAGACCTGACTGCACTGTTTTGGCAAGGACTGTGCAACTTTGGAACTCTGGGTTAGAAAAGCCAATGAGTGTTCAAAGCTTAGTGAGCTGTTCTGCAGGAGAGTGGAAGATAAGCAGGTGATGGAGGTCTGGCTTGTGAATGTCCAGAAGGAAGTTTGAGAATCAAAGACTCTACTGAGGTTGTTGAATATTCTGAGTTAAACATATGTGGTTCTGGTTAGATGAGGCTCAAGAATGAGCTGTGATTAATAAAATACCAAAACCACTAAGGTGAAACCACTAAAACCGCTTTAGCAAAACCTTCGCTCTGCTGTGACAATGGACGCTGGCCAGCTTGGTGGAGATTAAGAAGCGAGCAGCATCCTGGAGTGAGGTCTTCTACAAAGTGTTTCCTCAGTTAACACACAGAAGCTGTGGTTCAGAGGTGCCAAGGTTGTACCTTGTGCTGGCAGGCCAACTTGATCTGATGTAAGATGCCCCAGGTGGCACAGATTTTGAAGGCATGAAAGGACACGGAGAGCAGCTGACAGTTGGCACTGTGTGGCAGGGCTGGAGCCCTGAAGACAGAGGCCATTGGTGAAGTGCAGCTCAACTGCAGCAGAAGACCCCAGAAGTCTGAAGACGCAAGTATCAGGACATGAAAACAAAGAGCAGCAGCAGCCTTGAGTGGCGCTGGCTTGAGTTCAGGAGATAATCTGTGGGCTGCAGATGTGACCCAGAGACATAGACCAGGCCTTTGGAGGAACCCAGATGACTCTAAGTGGACAGATCCCAACATTAGATACTGGGTTATTTACAGAGCTGGGAGTTTGGTTTTCCTTTTCAGAATATGACTGTTCCTGGTTCCTCCCTTTGGAAAGCAATCCTCCATGCCCTCTGTATCAGCTCCTGCCTCCAGGTTCCTTTCTACTTTGAGTTCCTGCCGTGGCTTCCCTCAAGATATGTAGTTCAAATAAACCCTTTCCTCCTTAAGTTGCTTTTGGCCATGGTGTTTCATCACAGCCACAGTAACCCTAAGACACCAACCATCATTATCATCATTATTTAAAAGGGAGTCTACTATGGCTTTTTAAATGTTGCATTCATCTTTATTAAAGTACATACTGCATTTTGTTTTATATTATTTATACTTATATTGACAGACTGGGGTACTATTCCTTCTATATTATCAGATATGCCTATATGCCTATGTCTAGTTTGTACTATACATTATTTATCTTTATATCCACATTCACTGTCTTTATTACTTAAACTCCATAAAGTTAAGAAAAATTGTTATTCTTAAAAACTGGATAGCATTAAACATTTATAAGATCAAATGAGTTAGTAAAGGTCACAAAAAGGCAGCAAAGTATTTTTATCTTCAGCAGTTTAAAATGAAAAAATATAAAACTTGGTTTATAGCCAAGAGGATCCATATAAAATAAAGTATCAACCCAGTTTGCTCCTCTGGACGCTATGAGCCTCACTGGAACCCTCACCAACCACAGGTACCCTTTCAGAGACTTCTGAGAGAAAGATGGTGTTCAAATGGCCTTGGTTGGGAAAATGTGTAACACTTCAACAGACAGGCAATCAGACCTAAGATAAAGAAGCATGAGCAAATGCAAACACAAGCTGTCTTCAGGACACAGTGTTTTATAAAGTTGACACAGGAAAGAAAAATGCAACAGAGCAAATCAGGTACTAAGTGTAGAACTGGCGTAGGGGGATTTGTACTTCACTCTGCAGGTAGTAAAGACTCTCCAGGGTCCGAACAAGGAAATGACAACATTGTAGCCTACAGTTTAGAAAAGAAATCTTATCAATACAATGAAGAGTGGCAATTGGAAGGCTTTAAGAGACATGGCATCTCACAGGCAGTCAGGGAAAGAATACTGTAATATTTTAAATAGCAGGGCCTGAATCAGCAGCAGAGGACAATAAAAACATAAATAAGTAAAAGTGGTTGAAAGAAAATCAATTAATTTAGTAATAGCTCAGAAGTGCAAGCTGGTATAGAGAGAAAGCATTAAAATCTAAAATTTTGGTTAAGTAGCTAAATTTTGGGGCTATTTTGTCTTCAGAGAAGTACGTATATTTCATATTATAAATTACATAGTTATTTTAAAGATCTGCTTCAGTATAAATAGAAGTTCACAGAGTCTGGCACCCAACTGGACTCCCATCTATTCTGGTGGCTGAGGCAAAAGGATCATAAGTCCAAGACCAAACCTGAAATAAGCTCAAGGAAACACGCGGCTCATCTTCAAAAATAAAAGCAAAAGAAAAGGTGGAGGGAGAGAAAATTTGCTTGTAGTCTTGAAAAATCAACAGATTTTAGAAAACAAGGAGGCCAGAACTTACTTTCCCCATCACCGTCTTTATCAAATTCTTCTATCATAGCCCGAAGTTCTTCATCACTCATATTTTCGCCCAGTTCTCTGGCAACACGTCGCAAATTCCTCAGGCTTATTTTACCTGAATCATCATCATCAAATAGTTTAAATGCTTTCAGTATCTCTTCATGTGGATCTCTTTCCAATATCCAGTCTGTCACTATGATTAAAAGAAACTTTTTTTAACAAAGCTGTTCTGCTACAAGGAAAGGCATTTATTATTTTCATTACACCATCAAAAGTAATTTGGTCCTATTGGAATCTATAGATTCATTTGAAAATTTCCAATGCCTGTAGCCAGAAAGTACCGGAATATTTAATGAGCCCAAAGTGAAAAATACAATTTAAGTCTTCTACAAGTTGTTGTCTATTGCTATTTCATCTGTATTTGGCTGAGTAAGCACCTAGTCAAGCTAATGGTATATCAACTACACATAAATCCAAAATTATCTTTTAGCCATTAATTTTATCCAAAAAAAGGTTTCCAAGAAACTAATTGAAGTATATTACTATAAGTATGCAAATCAAAGCTCATAAATATTCATAAAAAGAATTGGCATACCTACAGCCATAACACCAAAATAAAATACACACTTAACTCTATGGCACACACTCAACTTATTTTGAATTCAGTCCCAACAAGAAAGCAGGACAAGAAAAAAGTGTTATGAAATTTCTTCATCGATTAAGTAACATACATGACAGGTAAACCAGAAAGGCAGACTGCTGAAATCCTAATGCACTTAAAGAACAACAGATGGGAAGCCAAGATGTGCAGTCCCTATCCCACTGACACTCTACTGGTACTTCAGAGATGTGTCTATATACCCACCTGCCAATACTCTACCAGAGAATGCAGATTTCTTCGGGCTTGTAACTGCCCCTAATTCTCAGTAACTAAAGCATTACCCGACATAAAGTGTTTTACAGTGACATTCCTCCACACCTTCACCTTCTACTTCTGTTCTACAAGTACTATTTCTTTGCAAGAAATCTTTTTCAATGGAAACAAATCAAGCACGGTGGCTCACACCTACAATCCAGTAGGAGGATTTAAAATAATTAACACCTACACAGTGAAGGTATCACCGATTTAACAAAACTCCAAATTCTGTCCATTCAACCACTTTGATTTTTATATTGTAGTACTGGACTTTATCGACATAAAGCACACTAAAACCAACTACAAAGATACATGATTTAATTACACTGTTGTTATTAGACCTTATAAAAATCAGGCAAGGAAACAGCTAATTCTGAAGGACTACATTAAATCAAAAACCATGAAAAACATTGTTAGAAAGTTCCTATCCAAACATACAATATTTATTTCAAACTCACAAATATCAGACCTTCAAGTTCTTCGCCAGCCACCTATCGGCTTTGTTGCCCCGGACCTCCACTGACTGAAGGGTAACTACATCATTTACTCATTCTGAAATAATGGTAATGCTTAAGATCCCATTGAGGGTCACTTATACTACAGTTCTAAGGACACCATCTTGTTTCACTCTCCAACAGAGCCCTCTTTCTTTTCATCCTAGCAATACTGACCATAAAGCCAACCTTCTGTCTTCGCCAGACTCTTGTTGGCTCATCGCCAATCTTCTCATCAGCTACTTTTGGAAAACATGGTATCCCAGTCCTTAAGTTCTGCTGACTAAAGTAAACTTTAGTACATTACCTAAGACATCAGTATGACCTGAGTCTGCCTTCCCAGCGCTCTGACCTTCTCTAGCAGATGAGACTCCATGAGATCAAACGTCTCCAACATGCTGACCATCTAGTACCATTCCACCTTGTTGCTTTCTGTGCCCAGACTGCAGTTCCTCTACTCCTACAATCTTCCTAGGAATCTAAGATTCCTGAAGATCTAAATTAAAAATCCCCTTTGAAAAGATTTAACTTCTCTAGTTAAATCCTTGAGAGATATTTCCAGTAAAGGGCCAGATAAAAACATTTTAGGTTTTCGGGGAACTTAAGCCCACAGTCTAAACTACTCACTCAAGCATGGCAGCAGAAAAGCAGCCTAAACAAATGGGTGGTAGAGCAGAGTATGCAGTCAAATTCAGTCCAGGACTACAGTCTGACAACTTTGGTCCTCGCTACCAATCTCCCTCTATCGCATAGAATCAAAGTCCACACATAAATCCTAAGGTACTAAAAACAATTTCTTGGTAATTTTAACTAATTCCCATTTTTTCCACCAAATGCAAAAATTTCTACGTTGGATAAATAATCAAAATGAAAACAATATAATATTGTATTTTAGATAGAATTTAAAATGTAAGTAGTACAAGCCAGGAACAGATGAAGTATAAAAACATCTCACTTCTAATCTTACCTTAAAGGCAGCAATTCCTGAAACACCTGCTACTCATTACCCAAATGATGCTAACTACCCTTGCACTGAATGGACTTTTTTTCTTATAATGGGGAAAGCTCAGGAAGTGCCAAGCTCATCTGGAATTCTGTGGGACAGTGTCCTTAGGCTACAACAAATGGTCCACAAAGATAAGATCTAGGTAATATGGAACTCTGTTCTTAAATACTAAAATATAAAAATTACAATTCTTAAAATTATATTTATGCAAAAGATGTTTTTACAAAGCTATGAATAATAATGCTTTAAATAGCCTTCAACAATACAAAACAGATATAAGACATCAAGAATACAGAACAGAATATGTCCCAACAATACAAATATATTTCCAACTTCTGAATTCAGAAACAAAAGACTCATTCCCTGACCCTTTCTTTTTCTTGAAGACAGGGTCTCATTATGTAGCCCTGGCTGGCCTGGGACTCCATATGCAGACCAGGCTAACCACAAACTCAGAGCATGGGCAAACTCAGAGCATGGGCTACCTCTGCCTCCTGAGTGCTGGGATTATTCTTAATCATAGTAACAGCATTTGATAGCTCTTCCTATATACGGTAGTGTTTAATATTTCCCATGTTAATAAACTACTTAACCCTGATATATTATTACATTATCCTCATTTTATAGAAAAATATGACACACAGACAAGTAAACTAATCAAGTTCACTGACACTTGGTAGTCAGAACCAAGATGGGGAATGCAGGGAGGGAATTGGGCTCCCAAGCAGCCTATGCTCCGCATGTGCCTTAATTATAGCTTTGTCACAGCCGCATCATCCCAACCATGTCCTGACTCCTGGGTCCTGGGATCCACCTTAGCAGACCACCTATATTGTTAGGGGAAAGGTGGTTCTTGCTCTCCACTCAAGAGGGGAATAAATCTGCTTCTAAAACCGACAATCTGCCTCTCTAAACAGTCAACGCTGCCTCCTAAGTTGAGGATCTTCTGTGTTAGGAAGAATGCTGTTTCCTCTTATATTTGTCATTTTACTTCTGCCTCCTGTGCTTTCAGTATAGCTTTTTAATGAGAGCAAGATAAATCTATGTCCTCTGTCTTCTCATTACCATTTCTTTTTCTTTCCCCTATTATTTCTCTTTTAAAACTTAAATAATTGCATCAGTTTTAAATTTTTAAATATATACAAATGACTGCATGGCATGCTTAGCTCATGATCTTTAAATTTTATCTTTGGTTTAGAACAGCAGCTTAATAAAACTGAACCTAAATATTTATTCAATCTATTTATAACATTGTAGGTAATAAATTTAAGCTACAATAGCCAATTTCCTGCCTTCCAGAATCCTCTACTGAAGTGTGTGGGGGGGGGTGTTTGTTTTTGTTTTGGTCAGAATCCTCTACTAAAAAAGCCTTATCTGTATATATCATGAGTGACTCATTAAAATCAAATAGCCAAAATTGAAGCCTCACAACACCCTGTCCACGGCCTCAGCTTAGCAACAGATGACAGGCATCACTAAGGTTGTTAAGAATGCAGAGCCTCATAAACTGTCCACCTAAGGAGACGAGTCATCCTCTCCCACCAAGACACCGAGTCCTACTACTTCTGTCGTCTCCCACTTTGCCAACAGAAACTGTGCAGGGCAGCAATCTTCAGAAAGATTTCCTCAGGATCAGCACACTACTTTTTCTTTTACAGACAAGAAGTCATTTTTGGTCACCCTTTAGTGACATAATATTAATAAACCAGAAAAGTAACACAATAATTCCTTGTTAAAAATCATCAAAAGTTAAAACTAATTCTCACAGTATAAGTCAAAGTATTTTTTTCTTTGAAAACCAACAAAAATTTCATAATTTCCCAACAACAACCAGTTATGAAGACTACTTTAGTACACACCAACTTCATTAAAATCTTGGAAGGTGATTTTGCCTGTGGCTTCTCTGTCATAATCTTTAAGAATCTTCAGCACATCAGCTTTTTTCACATCAAAACCCAAGGCTCTCATTGCCACCTTTTGGATTAGAAGGGAAAACAAATTATAAAGCACTCCTTGAAAAACAATCAATCACTGATTTCTAAGAAAGTTTTACATCTTAAAAGATGACAATATAATACAATATAGTACTAAAGCACAATGATTTTGCATTTTTATAACTAAAATAAAATGATACTATACTAGTTTTTCATTTTGAAATTAAATAGTTTTTATTGACATTTTCATTTTTTATATACCCAACTAATTTTTAAAAAGTTTACACAAAATATATAAAATAGTGCACTAAATACAGAGATAACAATTCTTCTGTCACTGAACGATTAAAAGACGTATCTTAAATATTAAAAGGGTAACCAAGAGAATAAAAACAGCCTGTCTTGGTGGCACATGTCTTTAATCGAGTTCGTGGGAGGCAAAGGTAGAGGGATCTCTCTGAGCTGGAGGCTAGTCTGTTCTATAAAGCGAGTTCCAGGACATCCAGAGCTGCTACACAGAGCAACCCTGTCCCAATAAATAAATAAATAAAAGCAGTAAGACACATAAAATTGCATGAACTTCATAATCTTACCACTCAGTAGACTGAAAGAAAGAGTGTTGTAAGTTAAAACTAGTATGGAATACAAAAAGAAAATTGGTGTGGGAGACTTGTCTGTTTTCTGTCAATCATATTTTGAATAAATGCTGATTGGCCAGGCAGGAAGTATAGGCGGGTCAACCAGACAGGAAGTAGAGGTGGGGCGATGAGAACAGGAGAATTCTAGGAAGGAGGAAGCCCATTCCTCCCATTCCTGCCCAGACCACCAAAAGGCAAGATGTAACCTACCCAGCTGAGAAAGGTACTGTGCCATGTGGCTAACATAGATAAGAATAATGGGTTAATATAACTTATAAGAGTTAGCAAGAAGCCTGAGCTAATGGGCCAATCAGTTTATAATCTTATAGAGTCTTCTGTGTGACTTTCTTTGGGGCTTGCTGGCTGTGGGGAACCAGACAGGACAGAAACCCCAACAAGCAGGCCCCCTCAGGTTACAGAAAATCCTTTCTCAAAACCCAACAAACAGCATTTCCATTGGAGCAACCATGATTAGCCACCAGATTCATTTCAGAGTAATTTAAACTGAAGCCATTTTGTTATTAGTACCAGGAAAGAAGAAATGTGTCACTAGATAGTGAAGTCTTAAGAGAGTCAAATCACTCCTTAATGAACAGGGCAGAGTTGGTGGAAAGGATGCGGGACTACAATAGATGCTGAGCCAAAACTAGGAAGGAGAGACAAGACAGAGCTGCTTACCTACTCCTACTTGGATTGCTTTAAAAATGTTGCCATTAAAACTCCTAAATAAACATTTAAGGCTACTTAACAATTTCAAAATGTTCTCTTTCTTACTAAGTTGAATGTAAGAAATGTAAGAACCTCACCAATTTCCCCTTCTATCTATACTAGTAATTTTAAGCCTTAAATTTGACATGGCCCTCAACATTAGGCACTAGACAATTTACATCCTTTGTAACAAAGAAAAGCACACTAAGAGTGTGCTTAATTTTTATTTTTTTAAAAAATTTTTAAATTTAATTTAATTTTTTTAAAAATTAAAAGACAGAGCTGTACTAGGCCTGGATGGAGGTGGGGGGTTCCTTGGACTTCCCACAGGACATTGAACCCTGATTGCTTTTCGGGCTGGGGGGGGGGGACTTAATTAGGGGAGGGGGAGAGAAATGGGAGGCGGTGGCTGGGAAGAGACAGAAATCTTTAATAAATAAATAAATTTAAAAAAAAAAAGACAGAGCTGGATGGAGGTGGCGCACACCTTTAATTCCAGCACTTGGGAGGCAGAGGCAAGCAAATCTCTGTGAGTTCAAGGTCAGCCTGGTCTACAAAGTAAGTTCCAGGACAGCCAAGGCTATTACAAAAATAAAACATGCATCAAAAAAATAAAAGCTGGAAAGACAACATTTTCTGATGTGAGATGTCTTTATGTATATGTGTTGTTTTATTGGTTGATGAATTAAGCTGTTTTGGCCAATAGCTTAGCAGAGTAAAACCAGAAGGGAAATCTAAACAGAGATATAGAGAGAGTAGGAAAAGTCAAAGAGACGCCATGTAGCTACTGAAGGAATAGGACACCTGGAACCTTACTGGTAGGACAAAGCCTCATGACGATATACAGATTAATAGAAATGGGTTAATTTAAGATGTAAGAGTTAAATTTTCAATCTCATAAATATCTGAGCAAAAGCAATATTCTGCACACACACACACACACCCCGAGCACAGATTCAAATGTCAATAACCTTTGTTTTCAATTTAATTAAAAACACATTATTATCATTTACCATGACCAAGCTGGTGTCACCTCCAGGGACGGAAGGTTGACTCAGCACACACAAGTCAACAGATATAATCCGGCACATGAATAGGCTTCAGAACGGAAAGTGTAGAGCCATCTCAACTGATGAAGAAACAGCCTTCAACAAAATCCAGTATCCCTCCACGATAAAAACTTGTGTTTGTCTTTCTGAGTCAGGGTTACCTCACTCAGGATAAGTTTTTTCTAATTCCATCCATTTGCCTGCAAATTTCATGATGTCACTGCCTGAGTGTACCACATTTTCTTTATTCATTCATCAGTTGAGGGGCATCTAGGCTGTTTCCAGATTCTGGCTATTATGAATAATGCTGCTATGAATATTGTTGAGTAAGTGTCCTGTGATTGAGCATGCTTTGGATATATGGGTCTTGGGGTAGATCGATTCCCAATTTTGTGAGAAATCACCATACTGATTTCCAAAGTGGCTGTAGAGGCTTGCACTGCCAGCAGCAACAGAGGAGTGTTTCCCTAACTCCATATACTCTCCAACATAAGCTGTCATCAGTATTTTTGATCTTAGCCATTCTGACAGGTATGAAATGGTATCTCAGAGTCACTTTGATTTGCATTTCCCTGATGATTAAGGATGTTGAACAATTCCTTAAATGTCTTTCAGCCATTTGCATTTCTTCTGTTGAAAATTCAGTTTAGCTCTCCACCCCACTTTTTAATTGAATTACTTGGTATTTTTTTGTCTAGTTTCTTGCATTCTTATATATTTTAGAGATCAGAGGCGACATTCTCTTAATCTCAAAATTGTCTATGCTGCGCCAAAGAGATAGCTCAATGGTTAAGAGTGCTTGGCCCTGAAACCACGAGAGGCAGAGATGGAATCCCCACCCACCACCCACATAAAGGACAGGCAGGGCTGCAAGTGCATTGAGGAGTGGATACAGGTCCGGTCCCCAGAGTTCACTCTAGTCAACCTAGGCGAAGTGATGAGCTTCCAGTTCAGTGAGGTTCCCTGTCTCCAGGCAAGAAGATGAACAGTGATGAAGATACACAAAGCACAGGTCTGCCCACGACACACGACACAATGTGGTGTGCATGCCTGCACAGGACACCTACATGGTTTTAAATCTAAGCGCTATCGTCCTCCAAAGGAAACAAAAACGGGAAGAGTATGCTAAGAACTTTTCCCACACCGCACCTGGGTGAATGAAAAGCCATCCTTTCCACCAGGATGTACCTTCACACTTAAATACAAGCTTCTAAAAGCCACATTAGGGTTCTTATTCAGTTTTAGTGCAGCACCTGTAGGTGGGTGCTGAAAACAGCCTCACAGCTCTAAAACAAGCTTTTCAAATAGACTTTAAAGCAACAGCCAGCAGAGATTCGTTTAAACAAAAGACATGTGTTATCAAGTACACTGTTACCTTTAATTCGTGATAATCTATCGCGTGGTCTTTGTCGGTATCAAAGAGCTCAAAGGCATCTTTAATTTCTTGCTTCTGTTCTTCAGAGAGCTCTCTTCGCTTTTTCCTCTTTGTTTTGTCTACTACAAGATCACTTCTATGACACAGAAAAATGTGTTCAGTTCACTTCATCTCACCTCACTTAGGACAAAAAATGGTTTTCTAAATTTCAACAAAATAGAGTAGAATAGTCTGGAGAATAAAGAAACTGTCCCTAAATCAGCGTCCTGAAGTGTATATGTATAAACCAGCATCCAAAACACTATAGTTATTATTCATGTCACCTACCAAGACCATGAAAACAGAACAGCCCATAGGAAAGTAAACTTCATAAATGATAGCTGTGCTGCATTTGGTTTACCTTGGACAGCTTCTAATTCAATTCTCACAATTACTAGGTAAGGCACTTTAGTGATGTAAGTTCAAAATGCTTTTAGATTATACGTTTCTAACAGTGCTTTGTGTTTTTATTCCATTGATATTAACCAGCCAAAATATAAAAGCACATGAACATACAAATACTAGACGGGCACACGAAAAGCAGCTAATGTTCGTGCCTTAATCTATGTGATGTTTAAAACAGTTGTAACTCTCACTTAACAGATAAAACGATAGGTTAAACGTCTTCATTTAAAAACTCTGCAGAAGCATAAAAGATAATCTAAAAGGGGTATTTCGAGCCGAAAGCGTGTGCCTTAAAGGCTGCCAATGCAAAAGCAGGCCAAATGTTTAAATGAGGGCACTACACGTGTATCCGCACGTTTTTGAAAGATGGAAGCTTTATAGCCAGAAACCTAGCAGAGTGTATGTGCGCAGCTAACATCTAAGGGACCACAGGGATGAAGGCGGCGGCCCTGGGTACCCGCCACACCCCGCCCGGGCCACCAGCGTCGCCCTGCACCGCAGCGCCCAGCCCGCCAGTGTAGATGGACAGGGTGAGGAGCCAATGGGGAAGGTGGTGTCCGGACGTAACCGGAGGGAGCGAGGACACCAGACCCACCCGGGTGGGCGAGCGCAGCGCTCGGACCGAGAGGAACCGGGCCGGGCCTCAACTGCCCCAGGAAGGCGGCAGCCAGGCCCGGGCTCCGCTCACGAAGGATGGAAACCTCGCGAGACTTCGCTCCCGGCGCGGCGGTGCAAAGGGGCCCCCCGGACAGGGCGGCGGCGGCCGGGAGGCGGGGACCGCGGGGTGCTCGGCGCTCCGGTGCCGCTCGGCCCGGCCTCCCTTCCACGCCCCATGGCCGTGCGCGGAGTGCAGGCACGGCCTCCTCGGTACCGACCTCAGAGCTAAACTCATTTTCTCTTCCGACCGAGATGTTCCGCCCAGGGCCTTTTCCAGGAGACCCGCTCAACAGCCGCCAACCTCCACGGCCGCGCGGACCACCCACCAAACAGAAGCTTCTGGCCGCGATTGGCTGGAAATTGCCAATAGTCGGCCCATTAGGGCGGAAGCCTCTCTGTCCTCTGTTTTCATTGGTCATTTCAAGTGTCAATCAAGTACCCCTTTCGGCCCGCCTCCTCTCTGGCCTCTTGGTTTGGCCGGGTGCTGTTGGGAGCCCCTTGCCCACGTCAGTCGCCACGCTGGGTTCCGCGGTCAAGGCCAGGCTCCACGCCTGACGCGGTGTGCTAGAGCCCAGCACGCGGATAGTCTCCAGGGACAGCACAAGAGCCTGCTCTAAAACAGGCAGCAATGGTTGGGGATCCAGGTCGGCGGTGGCCCGTGCATCTCAGAAAGTTAAGCCGTAAACCTGAAGACTTTGTTCTCCGTTCTTATTTCGGAAACTACCAAGCTGCTTAGCGTCGTCGTCCCCCCCCCCCCCCCCCCCCCCCCCCCCCCCCGTACAACTTTTGTAAGTGATTCTAAGAACTCACTGTGTAGACCAGACTAGCCTCAAACTCACGGAGATCACTGCCTGCGCCTCCCAAGTGCTGAGATTAAAGACATGAGCCACAACCTCTCAGCTTCCATGGTTAACAAGGGAGTTGCTCTCCTCTGACCTCCAGGCAAGTTGTATGTGTCAGAGCACAAACAAAATATCACACAACATTCCCTCCATTTTTTTTTACTAAAAAGAAAGTTTTAACTAACATAGAAAAACTATATATAAAGTAAGTACAATATATGTAATTATATACAGGCAATAATTACACTGTCTAGTCCATTACCATTTGACAAATTCGGAGAAAACATTCCATTATCCTATCTTAGTGAGTCCAAAGCATTGTACCTAATTTACTTCATATCCTCACTTGTATCACCAACCCAAAACTATCCTTTTATGTCTCTCAACTTTATAAAATTTATACCTCTTTTGTGAGTTTTTTTTTTCTGAATTTGTTAACAAGGAAAACTCTAACTATCTAGTCTTCAACTCCATCAGAGATCTGAGAAGGAAATAATGTTAACTGAGTAATAAAGAAGTGCAATCAAGCAACTTCCAAAAAATGTGAGAAATGACAGAATCAGCTAGCTGCCTGGACAGTCACCCAAGGTTCCTCTACAACTTTGGGGTATTCATCTTCAGCCTGCAGACCTAGATATCTGACAGAGGTTTCTGTGAAGCAGGATATTCTGAAGGACTGTCCTACCTTGTCTTGGTGAAGCTTAGCAGTGATTTTCTTTTGTATTCTGCTTGTCCAATTTGGACAGCATGTTGTCAGTAGTCGAGGCAAGGGCACTTTCTTGTCTAGTGGCTAACTTTTGTCAAAAAGAAATTAAACTTCATATGGAGTTTCATTGATGCCCATCTTCTTTTCTTAAGTAGATTGATACTGCCAGGAGCAGACGTGACTCATTGTCATTAAAAAAAATTATGTTATTAAAACATCTTAAATGACATATTCTATGGCTCTCTGAAGTGTTTGAAGACCACCTATCTGCCTAAAATACATTGCTTGCTGCTTGACCTTGAAAACATACCTAATATGACTACAAGTTTGATTATAATAGGTGACTAACTACTAATCCTCATTTCTTTATTATCCTAGTTGTAATAATAACTTTTAAATACTTGAAATTTACATTATGTTCTTAAATAAGTTGTATAGGCGCAATACCTTAAACAAGAGTAGAAACGTAGGTTCTAATAAAAATAACCTCAAATTTGTATCAATATACAAAAATCCATACCAATATAAAGTATTTAGACTAGTACTCGCTTTTTAGATTTAAATGTAAATCTAAAAATGATCTATCCTTTTATCCTAACATCTCTATATCCTCCGATTTTTCTTTTCAGAAAAAGATCCCTGAATCTAATCTCCTTTGTTCAGCTTTTTTCCTGACCACTACCAATAACAACTTGTAACCAACAACCCTAAATGATGACAAATATCCATAACTATTTGAACAAGAAAAATTTTACTCAAAATAAAACCAAAGTATTATGAGATTAGTGGCAATAGAATAGTCCTGATTTTTCTTCTGTCCCATATTAGGTGACTCTTCTGACATGAAACAGAGATTTTTTTATTTTTCTTTAACAAACATGCTTGAGTTTAGAGAAAGAGAGAGCCACACTCCAATTTCAACTTCAGCTTTAATTTGTAATTGAATTGGGACTATAAAAAGACCATTCACATTATAAGTCTATAAAGAACAGCAAAAATAAACATTTGGGAAGATTTATTTTATCCTGTTGGATATGTGATATACAAATAGGCCAATTTATTCTTTTTCTTTGGACATTTTCTCTGAATTATTTGTCCTTTTTCTTCAGATGTCTCATTTGTCCAGTGGTTTCCATATTACCTGCCTTCATTCTCCTGAAAAGACAAAGCAAAACCCTGCCACAACCCTTACTTTGGGGAGGTCCCTTTATGGCAAGTCATACCTGATCTAATGAAAATCATTTGTTGGTCTTAAAAATTAGTTTAGAGTGAATGCCATGTTATTTGATGAACTATCGCCTCTTCTAATGAAGAGGTCTCTCTTCTTCAATTCCAATCTTTATAGTATTTGCTTTATGGTTTCTCCTGAACTTTTTGTTTTATCTTCTAAAGCTGTTCTATCATCCAGAGCAGTATGTTTTTTTTATAATATGCATTATGTCCTTTAATTGCTCCAGGAGGAGTTCCCCCAACAGTGAATGACTGAATCAAATTTGACTAGTGTTCCACAAGAGGCCTCCCAAGGTGTTTCCAGATGGCAAAGGTTACCTTGTCTGTTCCTCTTGATCTGCATTCATTGGTCCATTGTCTGCCATTGCCACACCTTCTGTATACTCCAGAAAGGAGGAGCCTTCTGTTTGGATTATTCATAGCAAAAACATTGTTTCTACAAACACCCTGCCTACAATTCCTTTTTAGGTGACCTTGTTTGCCACAATTAAAACTCTGGTGTTTTTATTTATCTTTAAGCCTCTGTAAATCACTTCTCTTATCCAAGCATCATCATAGTTATAAGATTCAATATTGACTATATCTCAGATCCTTTCCTCTATGGATGCTGTTCTTGCCTTTAAAGGCCTAATTACCATTTTGCACTGTGTATTTGCACTTTCAAAAGCCAAAGATTCAATTATTATTTGTCTATCTTCTGAATTTGATATTATTCTATTTACAGCTGAAGTCAATCATTGAGAAAGAAAGAAAGAAAGAAAGAAAGGAAGGAAGGAAAAGAAAACAGTGGAGATTCTTTTGATCCCTGTATAACTTTAGTAAATGACTCAATTCTCTTTCCAACTTCTTCAATTCTATCCCAAACATTCAAAGCTGCTGCACAACATAGAGACGAGGAGTGATAATCATATGAGACTGTTTTTGTACATCAGCATAATCACCTTCCCCAAGAAGTTGGTCTTGGGAGATTTTAATACGTCTAACCCTAGTTCATTGTTCAATGGTCTTAGCCTCATCTTTCCACCAGCTTCTCCACTGCAGTTGACTACTAGTCACCAATACTGCTGTAACCAAGTATTTCCAGTCTTGTGTGACAATTCCATTACTAGTTGACCATAAATTTATATCTGCTTCCCAAAAGGTAAATGCATACCATATGAGACAATTACTTTCTTAAATCTCCTCAAATCTATCATTTCCACAAGAACCCAGTCAGCTCTTACACAGCTTGGAGATGCCTGTCATTTGGCAGTTCCTGTTGGTGACTGGATAAATTAAGGTCAGTTGTTTGAAAATATTGGACTGTTCCTCTCTAACCTTATAATATAATGCTGAGGTTAGTTCTCCTTTAAATTCCTCTGTCTTTATCTGAATATCTCTTAAGGCTTGTAACTCATCAATCAAATGGCTTTATTTTCTTTACTAACTTTTTAAAGGCTTGTACAAACTCAGCACTTATATCAATCAACTTTTTAGGGATAAAACAAGAATAATGAAACCAATAATGTTTATAATGACATTATATAAGTCCCATCTAAGTTAATTATCCCATCATTTAATTGTTCTTTTTTTTAAAACATCCATTGTGTAATCATACAGAGACCTAACTCCCTCCATTGTCATAGTATTTCCCATTTTTTAAAGTGGAAAAAAACTTTTTTAAAAAACTAATGCCCCAATTGTCTCCCCAGATCTGCTGACAATGATGGTGAAGATAAAGATGATGCTACATTGGATACTAGAAAATGAAGCATGAATCTAATCTTAATCAATAAAAACCAGGAGTTAGATATCCAGGTAAAACTTGGAAGATCAGAGAACTGGGAGCAGCCACCAGTTGCTTCCTTCCTGTCTTTGTCCTCAATTCAAAAAGCTGAGAGCCTGTCTCTGCCCTGCCTTATCACTTCCTCTCTCTGCCTTCCAAGTGCTGGAATCAAAGGTGTGAGCTACCCACCCCCCCACCCCCCCCTCAGCCCAGCTTCTATAGTTAACTAGTAACTAGCTCTGCCCTCTGATTTCCAGGCAAGTTTTATTTGTCAGGACACAAACAAAATATCACACAACAGCTTGTTCTTGCATCACATAAATTTCACAGAATTCTAGGAAGTAAAATAAGAAAGGAACTATTATTATTTAAAATTAGTACTTTAAAAGGGAGGTTTAAATAGGCCAGTAAGATAGTGCATTGGTTAAAAGTACTGCACATGCAAGCCTGATGACCTCAGTTGGCTTTCCACCCGCTGCAACCTCACTAGAAACCCATAGTAGAATGAGAGAGAGAACCAACCCCCCAAAATTGTCTTCTGACCATTAGACAGGTGCCAATGGCTGTGGCACACACTCACATACACATCTGCACACACACAATCATACACACACACACACACACACACACACCAATTATAAACTTGATGCTTCTAATATATATAACCAAAATGAAATCACTTCAAGGAAAACAGCAGCAACTAAAAGTGGGAAAACTGAATTTGGTCAATATAGATAAAACTAAAGAATAAATTTCTATGTCAACAACTAAAAATTATTTAATCCACATGCTTTTTTCCTG